GTAACACCTGTATTATGCCAGATTTGCCAATATTTCACTTTATAATTTTTTTTATCCGATTACTCGATTAATTGGAAGAATAATCGATAGATTACTCGATTACTAAAATATTCGTTTACAGCAGCCCTAATTCACACCTTAGTTCTAACTCTGACCCCTGACCCAAAAACAGGGTGTCCCCTTGTGGGGATCAGACTTCGGTCCCCACAACGTAGTATGTGTAAGGAAAATCGTCCCCACAAGGTATTACAAACAAATGTGCGCGCGCACACACACACACACACACAAAATGATGCAAAAGTTCAAAAGAACAGACTGCATGTCATGTTTCAGCAGGAACTACATTTTTAATGTACTTTCAATTTCATTGTTTTTTTTTTTCAATACTTTGTGAACCTGAATATCTCTGACTCCACCAAAAACCCATCAGTTTACTCTGAAAGGTTAAAAATTGATGACCTTGTTCTTCTAATTGAGTCAAAAATCCTCCATGATTAAAAAAAGTGTTTGCTGCTTACAAATTTCTTCTGATTTCGGTGTGAAATGTCTCAGATCACCAAACAGATTCCGACAGACCTTTAGTTTTTTTTATAGTAGTTCTGGCCTTGGAGGACATTTTGTCCACTCACCTCTTGCCTTAACTGAATCAGCTGAGCCTCTTGCAGTAGTTTTTCTTGACTGGATGCTTCTTTTATGTCATATTTGATATAACTTGCATTTATATAACAACTATATATAGCACTTTATTGTGCTTTAAAATGATACTGTGTGGCTGGAAAACAGCCTTTTTAAATGTGACAGAAGAAATCTGTAGGCTTGTTTCCATTTCCCCATTATTTGTGTTTGTGAAATACATGCAAGTCTTCTTTTTGGATGACTGCACCCTATAACAACCTTTAAATGCATACAGGAAGTGTGTTACGATGATCAGCCCATATTTATTCTTGTATAGTTCTGAGTCAGACGATGCCAGGGTTCTTGAGTTTCTAATGCTTTACTTGTCCAACGGTCTCTGTCCTGTCTGTCCATCAGTACAGTGGTGTGCTGCCCAGCCTGTGTGTGGTTTTATCACTACATCATGGTCATAGTGACGGGGGGCGTGGCTGTCGTTGCAGCGTTGGCACTCTGCTCCATCCTCATCTGGCCAATCAGGATCAGAGCACGTGAGTGAAGCTGATGACACAGCAGCACGTTGAGTCGGAGCTCGGCTTTAGTCTTTCTTCTTCTGCTCCTAGGTGGCCTGCAAGTCGTCTCTGATGGTTCCACCTCAGTTAACTAAGAGCCGGAAGGATCTGCCTTCGCCTTACTGGGAACTCTGGTCTTGCATGGACAGTAGGGACACTCACAGTTGTTTCTGAGATTAGTTTCAAGTTTTTCGCTGGAATGTCTGGGAAATCCCAGCATAAGTAAGACTAAATATTCCTTAACCTCTACACTAGGCTGACACTTAGTTGCCATCATTTTCTAGAAATGTTTGGTGCATGAGATAAAACTATTATATGGGTCCAATTCATTGTGTTCTAGAGATGAGGCCTTCCTTTGAGTGGAAGCAAACACAGCAGACTGTATGATAAATAGGAGTCCAGCCTTTTCCTGTTTTACCTTTTAAACACTAAGAAAGTATGACAAAGAGAATATTTAAATCACCAGTGCATTCAGTGGATAAACCACTACATCCAGTCCCTCAGACTGGTGGGTAAACGGGACCGGATCGTGAAACCACGCTACGCCCCAATGGCACTTCGACAGGACTTGAACAGAAGAGCTGAAGGAGTTCATCATTCATCTTGTAGCGAGGCCACCTACTGTAATTCCTGTGTTTTTGTTTTGTTTTTGCCTGTGTGTGTTTTTGTTTTATGCAGGGGAAAGAAAAGTGTGGATTTTAAAAAAAATATTTAAATCAGTTTGTGCTATACCAAAAAAAAATCCTCTAATGATCAAACTGAACCTAAAAATCATTGTAAAATGAAACGAAACTTGAATAGTGGAACTGCATCTGACTTTGAAATACTTAAAAGGGATCAATGTCTATTGCATGTAATGGAATAATGAAGGGAATCTCATTGGTGGAGCAGCACAGCTGAACTACGTCTGACTGGGAACAGTGGGAAGAGCTGTTGACCAAACTGAACCAAAACTGAGCTCTGACTTCGGTGACCATCTAAACTATTACCTGGTCTGCTTCACCTCTGTAAAAAATATTTAATTGATGAAGGGATTATTGTAAAGGAGCTGAAACAATAAAACCTGTTTGTGTTTAAACCTGTCTGCTCCATTGTGTTTTACTGACTTCAGAATTTTCATCTTAGGTGTACATATGCTTTGAGGGATATAATCTTTAAAAAAAAACAGAAATCACAATGCATGATTTAAAAAAAATAATTATTTATGCGCTACTGCTGCAAATAAGTATTTAAACACCTGTGAAAATCAATGTTAATATTTGCTACTGTAGCCTTTGTCTGCAATTAGAGGTCAATCGTTTCCTGTAGTTTTTCACTAGGTTTGCACTGCAGCAGGGATTTTGGCCCATTCCTCCACACAGATCTTTCTCTAGATCAGCCAGGTTTCTGGACTGTCACTGAGAAACAGAGTTTGAGGTCCTCCAAAGATTTTCTGTCGGGTTTAGGTCTGGAGACGGACTAGGCCACTCCAGAACCTTGATATACTTCTTATGGAGCCACTCCTTGGTTATCCTGGCAGTGTGCTTCAGGTCATTGTCATGTTGGAAGACCCAGCCACAACGCATCTTCAGTGGTCTTAACTGAGGGGAAGGAGGTTGTTCCCCAAAATCTCACAGTAAATGGCCCCAGTCATTTTTTGTGCAATACAGTGCAGTTGTCCTGTCCCATGTATGGAAAAACGCCTCCAAATCATGATGCTTCTACCCACATGCGTCACAGTAGGGACGGTGTTTTTGGGATGGAACTCAAATTCGTCCTCCAAACACGGCGAGTGAAATTAAGACCAAAAAGTTCTATTTTGGTCTCATCTGACCAGATAACTTTCTCCCATGACTCCTCTGGGTCATAGGCAAACTTAAGATGGGCCTGGATGTGTGCCGATTTAAGCAGGGGAACCTTCCCTGCCATGCATGATTTTAAACCATGACGTTTTAGTGCATTACCCACAATAACCTTGGAAACCGTGGTGCCAACTCTCTTCAGGTCATTGACCAGCTCCTCCTGTGTAGTTGGGCTGATTGATCTTTCTTAGGATCATTGATATGCAACAAGGTGAGATCTTGGATGGAGCCCCAGTCTGAGGGAGATTGACAGTCATGTTTAGCTTCTTCCATTTTCTAAGAATTGCTCCACCAGTTGATCTTTTTTCACAAAGCTCCTTGGCAATTGTAGACATTGTGGAGATCTACAAGTTTGTTTCCGCTGTCTTTGGACAGCATTTTAGCAGGTGGAGTCTTACTGATTGTGTGCAGCATAAAATAATCTTTATGCAGCTAACGACCTTAAACTGGTGCTTCTAATTTAGAATAAGTAGAACAGAGGACTAACAAGTCTTTAGGACCAGAATTTTTGCTGATTGGCAGGTGTGTGTTCAAATACTTATTTGCAGCAGTAATACACAACTTATTTTTAAAAAAAAAATTTAAAAAATCACACATTGTGATTTACAGATTTTGTTTTTTAGATTATGTCTCTCACAGTGGTGCAGTTGTTAGAGCTGCTGCCTTGCAGCAAGAAGATTCTGGGTTCGATTCCCAGCCTGCGGTCTTTCTGCATGGAGTTTGCATGTTCTCCCTGTGCATGGTGGGTTCTCTCTGGGTTCTTACCACTGTTAGGTTAATTGGTCTCTCTAAATTGTGCCTAGGTGTGAGTGTGCATGGTTGCTGTCTCTGTGTTGCCCTGTGACAGACTGGCAACCTGCCTCTTGCCCGAAACATTTGCTGGAGATAGGCACCAACACCTCCTGACCCCACTAGGAACAAGGGTGTACAGAAAATGGATGGATGGTCTCTCACAGTGGACATGCAGCTAAGATGTAAATTTCAGACCCCTCCATGATTTCTAGGTGGGAGAACTTACAAAGTCACAGGGTGTTGAAATACTTATTTTCCTCATTGTACAATGAAATGGCTGGAGAAGAAACAAGGTGTTCCAAAGGTCCAAACTTTAGTCTGATTGAATCACAAGAGTTGTGAAGAAACTGACCACCACCTCTTTGAACTGTTACTTCAAGTTCTTGTGGCTGAATTTTGTAATAACTTCCAAGTTATTTAGTCAGAAAGAGGAAATGAGCAACTCATCGCACTGAAAAGTGTTCTCCTTTCTACCATTATTATTAATAAACCGCCAGGCACATGTGTGTTTTTCAGTTCAATCAACACACCCTTATGTAAGCAGAAATCCTGCAATTTAGCTAATAAGACCGTTAAGATGTTCTTAATCTGTTACTTGTTGGGAAAACCTCCCACCTAGTGCAGTTTGTAGGAAAATGCCAAATCAGCAGAACAAGAGGTTTATTGTTCCTCAATTTGCTCTAAAATAATCTGTTTTTATTCAGGGAGGCTATGTTGTTTTTTCCTTATTTGGCGAGTTTGTGGATCATTCAGTGTGTTCCATGTGACTGAACTAAGGATCCATTGCAGTTTCACCACTATAACCGCAGAGTATTGAGAGGTGGAGTGGTCAGTTTATTTTTCCTATGAGTCTGAAAAAGACAGAATAAAATATTCTATTAATATCATTATGCTAATGCTGACTCAGCAGTTTCTACTTTATTAAAGTGGAAGTGATCCTCTGCTGCATACAGATTCATGTTTCAGTTCAGTGTTAAATGGAAGATGATTTGAATATAAATGCATAAATACCATAAAACCTTAGTAATAAAGAATATTTATGATTCCCTTTCTGATCTCAGTGAACAGACTTTCTGTTTTGTTACAACAAATAACTATGTGATATGTGACAGAAACCAAATGTCTAAAATGCTTAGCTTGGCTTTTAATAATATGCATGAATTATCACAGGTCGGGTTGAAAGTCCATCATAGAGCAAAAGAAAGACAACAGAGTCTTACACCGTTTCTGTAACAAAGTGGTTGCCAAGCCGCTTTATCATTAAGCATTCACTGATACTGAATGTTCACCTTTTTGGACCACATAATCTTTCAGAACATACACTTTGGCTGACATGTTTAAAGCTAATTAGTAACAATTTTTACAGTTTGAACTTGGAGAATATGCAAAAAAATAGAGTCAAAATGCTTACTTCCTTAATTATTCAACACAAACCCTAACTGACCTTGATGCTGCCTTTATTTGTGTGGCTGCTGCAGCATAATGAAACAACAGTTTAAATGGAAACCCAAAGCCTTTTTCAATACTGGGACAAGGATCATACTTACTGTACTGATGTGAAAAATGTTTAGTACTTTCTGTGTTTCTCTAAACATCTTGGTCAAAAAAAAAAAAAAAAAAAAAAAAATTTCAAACATGATTCCATCCGATAAATGTTCAGAAAAAGCAGAAACAGGATTAAACAGGACTCAACATGTAGCGAGATGAATAAAAGTAACACATTTGTCCAGTCAGGGGGCGCTGGTGTTCATTTTTTCCTGGCAGCTGTCCCAGAAGTTTTGTAGTCTGTTGTCCTTGTTAGAACAGAAGTCGGTCAAGTCCCTGAGCAGTCGGTCAGCCAGCCGTTCATCGCCCAACACCCCCGTCCTCCAGGCTTTGGTCAGCATGGTGTTGTAGGCCCAGTAGTAGCCCACCCTCTCCTCACCGCCAAATGGTCCCTGGCTGTTGGAGGTGGTGGAGTTCCTGCGACGCCGCGTCTGCCCACCCGAATACTTCCTCTTGGAGTACGGCAGCTGCAGGAACACGGTGCCTGCAGGACAGGGAAGCTTTCACCTTTCCAGGACATGAGACAGTTTGGGTTTTCTACTGAGATGAGACAAACCTGTAACATGGATGTACTGAGGCTTGTTCTCAGCAGGGAAATTAAAAGATGATGGTGAAAACTTGTCGTGTACAAAGCCAAACCTGGAAGGAGGAGGAGAACAAGTCATCACAGCAAGACAATGAAGACCCCAGGGTGGCTAAAGAGGGGCACGAGAGGTGCAGGGCACCCTCTGGGCCCCAGAGAATCATGTTGAGTAAATACAAAGGCAAAGGGTCAGCTTCTTTAATCAAGATATAAATGAAAAAAACAAAATACCATATAATACACACACACATATATATATATATATATATATATATATATATATATATATATATATATATATATATATAATTAGATTTATTTAAAACTAATTTAAAAAAGTATAGCAGCGATTTTAAGCCAGCTGACTAGCAGTTGCCACTACTGAGAATGGACTGCAGTGGGTTGAAGAAAACCTGAGTCAATCTGGCAATTTCTTTGGATTGTGTTTAAAGCATATTCAATCACAAGATGGTACGATGGGACATTATACCAATGTTTTGGTAAATCTTCAGTAGGAGGTGGTACCGGTAGCTGGTCCACATCCATCCAAAGGTAAAATGTTGATTAAAATTGAAGAGCACTGACCTGTAGAGGATGGCTTCCTGAAAGAGCTGCATCCTGTCCCAGTATGTCTCTGGTTCAAACCCTGTTGAAAACAGGAAGACCAGAGATGGACTCAAACAGTCACACGGCAGAGGTTTGACAATGACACACACTCAGCTTCATTGGGACAATTCCCCATGAAACCTCCCAATTCTGCCCAAGAACACTGACATGGATAAAAGATTTGATCAAAATGGCCTCCAAAACCAATCAATAATCAGCTGGATAACTGGGGTCAACAAAATGACGGAGTCCATGCATCAGGACGGCCAGAATGAGTCATCAGTCCAGACTGAGTCTAAAAGTTGAGGTTACAGACCTTTTGTGTCAGGACTAGTATAACGCTTAAGAAGCCGTACTGCATTTACTACCTTCGAACAGGTTGTCGCTGCCGTTCTTCAGCAGACACTGGATGTGGAGTGGGATGAAGAGCTGGACCCTCAGTGGGTCTCCATACAGATAGGATGTCAGCGCAAAGGGGAACTCCAGAACTGGAACCAGCAGGAAACCACAGGAAGCTGCTTTCCTGTGCCAACCTTGAACCTATCGGAACAGAGTAACCTCAGAATCCACTCTGTCGATTCCAGATGGCTCACTGTCTGACAGTTCTATGGGTTTACAAAATGACTCTTTGCATTTCCTTCATGTTCAGTTAACCGATGCGTTACCATCTCAAAAAGCACTGCAGCCGTGACAGCCATCCAGTGAAGCTTGATTTCAAAGGCAGCATTAAGAGAGAAGTTGCCATGGTAATAGCAGCTACACCATTCAGTTCGGTCGCTGCGGTTATTGATGTCCACGTCCAGTGTGACCGTTTTCTGCTCTGGGACAGTAGCAGCTGCAGGACAGATGGACAATGAGGGGCCGGGAGGTGGAGAGAAAATACAACAGGAAGTAAAAGGAGTGGAATGTGATCTGGATGGAGTGAGGCGCAGATAGAGGAGAGAGATGGATGCAAAGCAGTGATCAAGAGCACAAGGCAGACATGGGGAGAAACGTACTGACCTTCCATACATGTTACTGATTTGCTGATTTTCACAGCCTCTCCACATGGGCCTCTGCATTGGACCTCTTTTTTTGGATGGAAGGTTTTCTTGTTAATCTGATTTTCTTTTCAGTTCCCAATGGTAATCAAAAATAATTACATGACTTTTTTTCTAGGCTTTTTGTGTTTAATGATGTAAAGCACTTTGAAATGCCTTGCTGCTGAAATGTGCTATACAAGTAAAATTTGACTGATTGATTGATAAAACATTTGGATATTTATAGGGTAAAACATCCAAATCTCATCACACAACTCAAAAATATGCAGATGAAATATTTAGTTGTAACACTTTCCAAAAACAGTTTCAGTATTTTAAACATAATGTGTTGTCAAATTAAGTCATAAAATCTGTATCACATAAGTGATATCCTACGATTAATTTTTCAGTATTATGTTTTGAATCATGTCTTACTGTGGGGGTGATGGTAGTGATCCTTTAAGGGGAAATAAAGATTACAGCTACTGTATTCACTTCAGTGGAAGTGAAGAGGATAAAACTCCTGGATTCCCCAAACTGACTGACACACACAGGCAAGTTCAGCCATGGGTTACGCACAGGATTTTGCAAAGGGGCCTATATGGTACTCAAATAATCCCACATTGGGCCCATATGAGCATGTTACCTGGGATCATAGGCGGAGGAAGGGGGGGGGACGGGGGGGACATGTCCCCCCC